TCGATCTGCCTGTTCTGCTTCCCGCTCTGTCTCTGGTTAATCATCTCACCCTCCGCATCTCTGGCCTGTACCCCAGTTCTGTATGAATAAATAAATAAATCTTTAAAAAAAAAGATGCAAGTTGTGATGACATTAAAAAGAAAATGAATATTCAAAAAATTGCACAAATCATGAAACTAAATAAGGATTTAAATGCATCTATTGGCGTATGTATCTATGGTAAAAAATAAGAAAAAAAACAAATACTAAATTTCAGACAGCACTAAATTTTAGAGAAGGTGGGAAGAAAAAGGGATAGGGAAAAAGGGATAGAGAAAAAGGGATAGATATATTAGCGGCTTCAGCTCTATTCACAAAGGATAAATATGCTTTTTATATATGTTGTATAAGTTTAAAATATTTCATTCAAAACAACCACCTCTGTGAATGCATCCTGCACACACACTCACTCATCTTTACTCTAAATGCTGCTGATAGAATATTTTTTTTAATTATAGAAATGTGAAAGTGCTGAATTTTATTCCCTTAGTTCTTCCATGCCATTTTGTAAAAAACAAACAAAAAGAAAGATAACTTTCCTAAAAGAAACAGCTCAACTACCCGCAGGAATAAACGTGACTCTTGTGAATGCTCCGTCTGAAGAAGCCCTTGCACCCATCACAGCTGGATGCTCCATAATGATTTCCAGTTGCTCTGTCCCCACATATAGCACATAGACATTTGACGCTGTTGTCTGCAGTGTTCATATTTGTGGTTTCGGAGGCAGAATTATCTGTTAAAAAAAGTAATATTAGAGTTCAAGTTACTAATAGGCATTTTTAAAATTTGAGCTGTCCTCCATAGGCTCAGAACAGTCAATTTCTTGGACGTTCCATCAATTGTCTTTTTTAAAAGATTTTATTTATGCATACACAGCTGGGATACAGGCCAGAGGTGCAATGGCGGGGAGAGGATTCACATAAGGCAGAGTGGGGAGCAGAACAGGCAGACTGACGAAGTACACTGCTGAGGGAGCAGCGGGCGGGTCAGGAGAGGTGTTCCACGCCATTTGGATCACCTCCGGGGTGGGGATTGAACTCATACTGAAGTGGCTTTAGCGTCTCAGTGCTGAGCTTTAACCCGCTGCTCTGCCAGGGAGGGCCCTCAGTTGTCTCTTTAACCACTGGCTTCCCTGCCTGTTTGCATTCCAACTTCCCACTTACATTCCTGATGATTAAAAAATGGGAAATAGTAAGACTCGAAATCCCAAGTATTCTCTTTTTCAAAGGAAGTTCATGAAGTTCCATGATATTAAATATCATATATATATATATAGAAATAGCCACAGATTTTTATCTCTAGTTCTGTCTCCCATGGCTATCATTCTGAAATGCAAAAAAAAAAAATATTTAGTTAAAAACTTCAAATTTAATGGGAATTGAAAGTTAGAGCTATTTCCAAAAGCATGAATCAACTTGAGGTGATTTATGTTAAGTGAAATAAGTGATAAAGTCAAACACCATATGATTTTAATTATGTGAAGAATTTATTGTGTATGTGTGTGTGTGTGTGTTGCATCATTCTTTATTTTGTACATTTTTCATGTATGTTGTAATCCCCATGGACTTTCCACCACCAATTCACCCATCTGCCATCACCTTAGTCCTATGCACTCTTTCCATCCCAGTTTTGATCCTGTTCCCCCTCCACTCACATAGATGTCTATATAAACTATAGGTTTATAGTTGTTTGTTGATTTTCACTCTTACTTTATTATAGTTGCTTTTTTTCCTGATCCCTTACACTTTTGCTATGAATGAAACTATTTTTCCTTTTCCTTCTGACTTATTTCACTAAATGATCCCTATGTGATAACACAAAAGGAAATAAAAGCAAATCGTTAGACTGACAACAAAATGATATTATTGGAAGGGAGAGATATGGAGGATGGGAGAGGCAGGTAGGGGGAGATAAGTATGATAATGGTAAATGAACCTAGTCCTAAAACTTAGGTATTTTTATAAGCCAAAGCTACCTCAATTACAAAGAAAAAAAAGTATCAGAACCAGAACTCTTTCTCCAATTAACTTGCTATTCCTTCAGTCTCTCCTAAGTCAGTCAATGGTACGATCCAACACCTAAATTCATTATTCTAGAGTCTTCAAAGAATTCTCTCCATCCAACCATAAGGCCATATTTAAAATACATAAGAAATACAAAAGTATATATGTGCATGTCTATATTACACTTTCAGTATGGGGGAGCTTTATATACCAGTCATAAACATTCCCCAGGATTGTAATTTTCTCCCATTGCCAGAGACTTCTATCTAATAATCTAATTCATCCCTTGCTACCCTACTGCTTATTACCCCACATTTATCTTGGCATAAGAAGTCCACACCAATCCACCCATCTATATCTAAGCATTAATTAACACATCCATGTTACCAGGTACTGTAAAACCCGGGAGAATAAAGACCTTCCTTTCATCCCTCTGATCCAATTATTCTGATAATACTTTGTCATTTTGTTCACTATCCCTCAGCAAAGTTGCCTTTTATCCCCTTGAAGTAAATTTCAACTTTAGATCCTTATACTTGCTGTTCCTTCTGCCTGGAAAGAACTTCTCTTATTCAGGAATTTCTTCTGTCAGGTTTCTGGTGAAATCTCATATTTACTGTGA